TGACTTAAATAGGGCAATTTGCAGAGGCGCCCTATTGGCTCAACCCCGAGGGGGATGGCAGTCTGATCTGGTGGCCAGAACTAAGCCTAACCCGGTTCCAAAACCGGGGAGGTCGCAGGGAGAAAACCCCCTCCCCTGCCACCAGAACCACCCCCCCCTCCACATCAAACCATGACAAAGCATATTAAAATTAATCTGTCTAAAATATAAGTGCTGTATTTATATCAAGCACAAGAAGGAACTGTGTAGAAAATTAAAGCTGGTTTGGATTATTTAGAACAAGTGCAAAAGAATAGCAAAAGATGTAGAGAAAAAACAATAATCAAAGAAGCCAAAGCCAAAAAATGTGAACAAGAAAAGACTATATACAAGAAAGAACATGAGGAGTAACAGAAATTGTTCTGGAAGTATATTTCTGGTAAGAGCATGTTCCAGGAAAGTGTTGCTCTACTGCTTAACAGAAGCACATCAGTCTTCACTAGTGGTATTAACAGCATACGGGAAACAGCCTAGAATAGAGAAAAGACAAATCAGAAGGTACCTAACGTGTGAGGTGTTCCCACGTTAGCTGTCCCTGAGACACGCTATACTTGGAAACTGGAAGAATTGGCTAAATCAGTCTCAGCCCTGTTAGCAATTGCCATAGAGAATCTGAAGAAAGAAAATGAGAGTGCGTGAAAAAAAAAAAAACAGAAAAAAGAGAGATTAAAACTTGTGGATAAATGAAAAGGAGCAGATGTCCTACATTTTCACTTCAAGAAATTTCTGGATGCTGTCTTACAAGACTCCCCTATAAACAAGCTAGGAAACATCAAGCAGTGTCTTAATGTAAGTTTCATGGGATATAGCTGCAAAACTGGTTGGATAAGGTAACCCCCAAACAGCTACTGCTCTTTCACTGCCATGTGTGTATTCCACAAGAGTTTATTTTAGACACTATTCTGTTTTTTTCAGTAACAATCTGCATTATGTATCAGAGGTACACTTATTAAATTTGCAGTTGTTACAAAGTTGAGAATGGATCGGAAGGATGCCAGAGAACAGGATTAGAATTGAAAATGACCATGACACATTGGAGAAATGGCTTGGCAAATAAGATAATGTTTAATAGGCGAAAGTCCATGGTACTACACTTGGGCACAATAGCCATATACAGTATACAGGACAGCTGGTTAAGCAGTGAGTTTTGAAAATGATATGCAAGTCATGAATGTTACATGAGTAAACATAATCAAGCTGTTGTGAAAAAGGTATGTATGGATGAAAAAGACGTACAGTCTGCAAAATGTATGGAGTAATTAATCTTTTGTACTCAGTATTTTGGTCAGCTCAAATAGTGGGTCCAGTTTTGAACATCACACTTCAATAAGGATAGGGCTAATTGGGGGGAGTTCAGAAAATGGCAATGAGCATAGTTACAGAACTGAAAAAGATGACTTGTACGGAAAAAAATTGAAGAACCAGAATTATTTACCCTAAAAAGTAAAAGATAGGTAGAAGAGAAAAGTTTTCAAGCATTAAAGGAAAAAAAAGAAAAGCCACATGAAAAAATTAAGCAAGCAAAACCAAAAGCACCCCAACCCAAACCGAAAAGCCCCAAACCACCTTGAACTTTCACAGATGAAGGGAATGATCTTATCTCTGCATCCAGTATGGATAACTTAAGTCTAACAAGAAAGAGTTAGTTTAGACATCAGAAAAAGAAATTCTGATAGTAAGGCAAGATCATTTAGAGCAGATTAGGTGAGAAATTTATAAGTATATTAGAGGTCTTTTAAAATACAGAAAACATGTCAAAAAATGATACAAGTGTAGCTTTGTTTCACTGGCAGTTTCGAGATGACCTGCTATGGACCTTATCAGTGGTATCTTCTGTGATTCTGAGTATGTTACATTACTGCATATTACTACTGTGCCACACAGTGCATTTTCTGTTCTGTAAAACTTGTGAAAGATTATTGTGCTTTGAATTAAGATTATACTTTTTTTTTTCTTTTAATTTCAGTGTGTGCAGAAGCTTACAATCCTGATGAGGAAGAGGACGACGCAGAATCTAGGGTATTTAATGCTTTGAGTCAAACACTTATTTTTTCGGTTCTCGGGCATTAAATTTAGGAAGAAAAATGTAACCAGCATTACCATTCATTTCCAAAAGCATCCTTATTATAATATATTTTAATAAGATCTTGGGGTTTTATGTTAAAGGAACATTTAAAAATTCTCTGTAATAGTCACCTGTGTAGGACCTGATGTGAGTATTATTCTAAGTTACTACACCTTTGACATGTGGTCTGTTAAGGAAACGTTTTTGTGCAATTATATTTGCCAAGAGAGCGCATGCTCCTAAAAGTACTTATTTGATGTCCTCATAATCTTGCATTAGTTTCCTCAATATTATAGTATTTTTCATAAGGCAGAAAAAAGGTAAATTATAAAATCACTAAGATTTTCAGATGTACAGTGCAATAACTAATGAACTATATTTCTTTTACTTATGTCACACTTTTAAAGGCATTCACTTAGCTTTTGATATGAAATAGCATAAATATGACTTTTAAGACAAATTTAAATGTTTGTATTTTACCTAATTTCTGGCTTCTAAAACTGCCAAAAAGGTTATCCTGTAGTATCACAGCTTTGAAACCTAGCATACCTTTTTAAACATATGAGTTGAATGAACAACTTGATCGATACTCACCTTGACCCAGATATCAGTAATTTAGAATCATAGAATGGGTTAGGGCTGGAAGGGACCTTCAAAGGTCATCTAGTCCAACCCCCCTGCAAGGAACAGGGATATCTCCAACTAGATCAGGTTGCTCAGGGCCTTGTCCAACCTGGCCTTGAACGTCTCCAGGGATGGAGCATCCACCACCTCTCTGGGCAACCTGTTCCAGTGTTCTACCACTCTCATAGTAAAAAATTTTTTCCTAATATCCAACCTGAACCTACCTCCCTCTATTTTAAAACCATTACCCCTTGTCCTATCATAACTGGCCCTCCTGAACAGCCTCTCCCCATCTTTCCTGTAGGAAGTCTCTTTAGTAAGTCTCTGGCTCGCTTGGATAGTGCCAAGTCTGCTTTTTACTCTATGAGACTTCTGATATAAATTTAACACAGGTACTATTTCACAAAATGTTCTTTGGGAAGTAGTCATGGCAAATGGCTAAACGTAACAGTGGTGCTCTTTATAAAACATGCATGCTCCAAATATGATTAGAGAGTAGTAGAGTAATGTTTGTGCAGCAATAGTTGAGATAAAGGTATCCAGAGTGGCTTGCAGAAATGAACTGGATTCTACAAATTTAAAGATGATGTTAGCTTAAATACAGCTGTACTTCGTTTGCTGATGCTATGGTGATGTAATGTTACCATTGAGTGTTTGTTCACATCCTGAAGGTTTTGAAATTAAAGTGTTATGAAGCATGGCCAAAATATTGTGTAAAATTCTTAGCTAAATTAGCGTAGTCCTTCAGCTAGTGCTATATGATAACCACTTTAAGGGTTTTTCTATTATATCCCTCAGATTATTCATCCTAAAACAGATGATCAAAGAAACAGACTGCAGGAGGCATGCAAGGACATTCTTCTTTTTAAGAACCTAGATCCGGTAAGAGATTCTTTGTAATGAACAATGTTTAGCAGTGCTGCTAAGAATTCATTCTCTTGAACTTTTGAACAGAAGTTTACAGATTTGACGTTTGTAAACTCTTATGCATGCTTTCTTGACCATTTTATGAACTCCAGAAATACCATTTTTGTAACTGATTCGTCATGTATAGATAAAGCCTTTTGTTCACCACCATGAATGGTAGTCTTGGAGTACATTATTGTGAATATATACATTAATATGATTGCAAAGCATTGTGTTTTCTTATTTTAAATCTTCTTGCTGTACATTGATGTATATAAACCTATCAGTCAACTGGAAGGTTTGTTTCTACCAGTTACTTTTTACCATCCAAAAGTGTGCTGAGTGCTCCATCAAAACCTAAAATTACCCCAAAGCCTACAGTTTAGCTATAGATGTAATTGAACAAGCAAGTTATGAAATAGAGGGAAAGAAAAGGGCACTAGTGAGGTGTTTACACTGTTATTTCACGTAATACAGATACCGTAAAAATGCTACAGATAATTTTCTTCTGTACAGATGATTTCCTTCTATTGCTTGTAAAAACAATTACGGGCTTTTAAGAGAGCTTAAATGCAGTGAATGAGTGGTCTGGATCAGACAAAGGTGATGATGCTACAAAAAAGCACAGAATTGTTTAAGGGAAAAGGCGAGTGTATCAATGAAAACATGCATACTGAGGTTGGGATGACTCACAGCACACCACATGCTTTCTCAAGAGAATTCATTTAGTGCTGTCAGGGGAGGGAGCATGGGGGAAAGGGAAATAATTATGTAGAGTTTTAAGTATGAGAACAAAAAGTTTTAAATTTGATTCAAGAGGGAGCTAATGGAAGGACCAGCCTGCAGCTCTGTTGGGAAGTCAGGTGCTGTTACAGAGAACGCAGGTTAATTTGTGCTGCAGGTTTCCATCTCCTGCTTTTGTCTGCACAAAGGCTGAGGCCTGACCCTGGGGACCTGCTCCCAGAGAGGCTCTGAGGAGCAGTGAGCCACAGTCCCCCAGCTTTGCAGAACCCTGCAGTTAGAGCTGGAGGAGGGCATCAAGAGTCTCAGTGTAGGTGGTAATATGTGTGCATTCTTGGGACACTAGGGATCCTGACACAGAATTTTCTAACTCACTCCTTTATGCTGTCTAATGGGTAGTTAATTAGCTTTTCCACTATACTGGTTCAAGCTGAAGTCACCCAAACATTTCCCTCTTCCGCTCCCGAATTATTTTTCTGCATAACTTCAGGGGGATAAAGTGGTTTGTGGGCATCTGCTCCGGATGTGAAATTGCTTTATTATTTATTTTCCTTATTGTTGCTGTGTCCTGGCTTCCACTTGGCTGGACCATCGTTACATTAGCCTGTCAATGGCATTTTGGCAGACCCCTCTTTGTTAGTCTCTGAGCATTTCTCTCTTCTGAGCCCTGTGACCCAATGGATTATCATGTGCTCCTAGAATCTGCCATGATGTTAATTTTGAGCTATGGCTTTCCTAATTCTGGCTTTACACAGTTTCTTGGTAGTATCTGCTTATGGTATTGATCCTCTGGATGAGATCTGCTTTGCCTTCAGATCTTCTGTCTGATTAGTCATCAGCCACTTGATCTGCAGGACAGGGATCTATTGGCCTCGTATAGGCTATATTGTAATGTTGTGTAGACGTAGAGCATTCCCAGTGTGGGCACTTCATGTAACTCTTCCAAGGAATATTGAGGGTACTACTTCACCTGTTTGTGGAAATCTTCTCAGGACTGTGCTGCTGTCTTGATACCATATCCCCTTGAAAACTCCTTTTTTTCTTTTTGCTTCTGAATCGGTTATTTGTAATTGCTAGTTGTTCCCACAGTCTGTTCCAGGTGTTTAGCAGAAGACTTCTTAGCTGAATCCTCCTCTTGTGGAGCTGTGCGATCCGAAGCCTTGAAATCCACTCCTGAGAAATCTCCCAAATCTTGTTTACCCGCCTTTGCTCAGATTGTCCAGTGGATTAAGAACACTTCTTTCTGCTTTAAATCCTTCACAGACAGCGTTTTGGGAAGTTGAGTAAGATAATTGTTGCAAAAGAGTTTTTCATTTTAATAACTTTACTCATAAAAGGCATTAGAAAGCTACCGAGCTCTGAAGATAGCAAGGGTATTAAAATGTCTTCAGTCTGGCTTGCTCCTTCTGTGAAGCCAAAATCTGTAGTTCCCAGGGGACTTCTCCCACTCTTCCTTCTTGTTCTGCTGCTAGGCAGACTCAAGAGCTCTGCCACTGTAGTTGCAGTAATTTAAATGTTCCTATCCCAGCTCTTCCTCACCTCTGCCTCTCCACCCTGCAGCACAAGTGCATGTGGTGCCAGCTGCTGCAGTTTGCTCTCTGGTGTATTAACAAAAACATCTTGGAGAGAGATAATATCTTCAACTGCTAAAGCTAAAGTCTCTGGAACAAAAGTCAAGCTGTGTATCAATAGTGTCTCCCACTCCTACTGTATTTTTTCTTGCATTGAACTTCAGCCGCTTTCTGCTATGGCTCTGTGCATGAAAAACATTGTTTCAGAAGTCGGTCAGTTAGAGGGGAAGAGACAATGTAAAGTGCTTAATGGCTTTTCCCAGATGGCCTTTTAGCAAGGTGTCAGAATACCATTCCTAATAGGACACTACTTTGAAATAGAGTATAACAACGTCTTACGGCATGATCAGAATTGCATTCAGTACGTAATGCTAAATGGAGTCTGCATTTTCTTAACACTTTATCCCTCCCTAACACACTGTGTTTTAATTTGAATGGAAGGATAAGATAAGGATATCATTAAAGCAGAAGGAGAAGTTGCCATAGTTAGGAGGTGACTTAGAGTACTGCTCAGCATTTTAATTAGAGAGTCCATCTGAACAGACAAGAGCCTTCACATAAAAGTAAAAAACAGCAGAACTGTTTGAATGTGAGACTAAACGAGAGAGAGGAGAAAAAGATAAAGACTTTGAGACAACTTACGACTTTCTAAACACACACAACACTGTCTTGAGCCTGCGTTTACCCGATATCAGATGGGTAAACTTAAGTATTTATAAATATCAATGTTTCACATATTAGCTCTGATTGAAAATATAGCATAGTATAAAGGAACACCAGCTCTGGTACAATTCCCTGAGCAGCGCTCTTATGTTTTAAAGACCAGCTTATATAAATTCCTTAAAGTCTGTGAATCTACTTGAATTTTCTTGAAGCTTTCTTTAACTTTGTGAATTGATGAGGATATGACTGATCAACTAATGTCAGTTCAGCAAGGCACTCCTGGGTTAACTCCCTTAAATAAAAAGTACTTGTAAAGAATTGATATATTAGCATTCTTGTGACCTTTCTGGGAGCTGAATCACTTCCCATCAGGTTGCTGTCACTCAATATCAGTTTTAGCTAGTGCATAACAGTATTGAAAAAAATTACTTTAAGAGAAGAATATGGATTGAAACATACACGTGCAACGAAATTGGGGAAAGAGGATTTTGCGGAGCTCTTCGGCTGCTTTTAGAGTACCGAATCAGGAAAGAATCAATAGAAATTCCAGCAGCAGAACTGTGTGGATGAGTGAATTAGAAGAGAGAAAGGTACATTCAGATGTTTGTTTTCCTCTCTCCATGCTATTAATCTAAACTATGTTAGATTAGCTTATTCCTCTTCTAAAGCACTTAGAATCATAGAATGGTTAGGGTTGGAAGTGACCTCAAAGATCATCTAGTTCCAACCCCCCTGCCATGGGCAGGGAAACCCTCCACTGCACCAGGTTGCCCAAAGCCTCATCCAACCTGGCCTTGAACACTTCCAGGGATGGGGCATCCACAACTTCTCTGGGCAACCTGTTCCACTGCCTCACCACCCTCAGAGTGAAAAATTTCTTCCTTATATCTAATCTAAATCTGCCTTCTTTCAGCTTAAAACCATTGCCCCTTGTCCTATGACTACATGCCCTTGTAAAAAGTCCCTCTCCAGCTTTCCTGTAGGCCCCTTTTAAGTACTGGAAAGCTGCTATAAGATCACCCTGGAGCCTTCTCTTCTCCAGGCTGAACAGCCCCCAACACTTCTTCCTGTTCTTCTCAGAAAACCTCTTCCTATTAGACCAGAGTATTATTTATTGTTCTTCTTGATTGCCTGCCACACCATTGCCAGAAATCTTCGTATTACTTTTGTTCTCCTAGGATTGCCATGGTGTGCCAAGCTGCTTGCTCTACATACATGCACAAAGCATGTTACCACACCTTCTCCTTCATACTTCAGATGCTGGCGGTTACTGACAGTGGAATCAGAAGCTGCATGCGCTCTTTCCCCTCCACTTTCACTTTGTATAAGCCAGCAAGCAGAAAACAACACGATGACCAAGATGTCTTGGGCGATGACTGAGAACGAGCCCCAAGTCGCTATTACTGTTCAGCCTAACAACTGTTTTATCACCGGGAAGAATAGCAGCAACAGCAGCTCATCTAGTGGCCAATGCAGCCTTCTATATTTCCTTTTTACAATGCAATTCAGAGAAGTTATTATTTTGTTTTCATCTTTTAAGGGGAAACTTTGCTGGGGCTGTTTAACAACAAGCTATTTGGTTTGGCTGTCGTGGCCCACAGGCAAGCAGTTAAAAAACCTGATGAACCTGTTATAAGAGTAACAGGGTGGCTCATGGGACTGGTACCATCACAGCTGTGCCATACCTTTGCACTTAAAGTTTGAATCCTTTCTTTCGCAAAAATTCACATGCAGTGTTAGATCATCTATTCTCTTTCAGGGAAATTTTATTTTGAAGAGCTTTGCCCTGCTAATGCTTGTAAAGAATATTTCAAATAGGTCTTGACCCTTTTCTAAAAGGTAATAAATTATACGTATTCTTGATAATATACAAGAGCAATTTCTGGGCATACTGCCACTCATGCACCTGGGGAATTATTATAAGAGAGCACATATTGATTAATCAATTAAAATTGATTAACTTGAAAGAACATGAAAGAAAGCATAATGCAACCATGTTCT